TTGAAGTGAGGCCTGGAGCATCAGTTGGGGTTAAAGATGGGAAAAGTTGGCTCGCCATCGTGCCAACTTACTCACAAGTTCTCTTTGTTCTGTCAACTTCGATTTTCGACACGCACGTCGTCTCCCACTGCTACCATAAGGCAGCCACAATCTGTCGCTGCTGGCAGCAGGCTAGAGTTCACCATCCCCGTTTGAGTGACTTTTTTTTTTTCCACAATAGTTCTGTTGTGTGCGGCGTTATTGGCGTGGAAAGTCGTTCTGCACAAAATAGAGCGGCGAAAATTGGAGGGAATTCAGCTCGGCTGAGTTAAGCAACCGTCGAGGGATTTAGCTCCACAAAGGCTCCAACACAGGATTAAAACGCAGAATAATAAAGACTTTTTTATGAGGAGAGTTTGGCGTTGGGTGCGTGATGTGGTTGAGCAGCCGGGGTATTCTCAAATCTGATGTTTGACCAGTCAGTGAACTTCTGATGTTGAGAGACGAGGAACTAAACATCTTTTATTTGACTGTTTTTTTTTGCACACATTCAGATTTGTGCATCAGTAACACAGTCATTCATGAACTTAAATCAGATCAGATCCAGCTAATTGAGCAGCAGTTAAACACAGTTTGAATAAATCTTACTTATTTTTGTGGAATCTATCCACTTGAAATTATACTTTGTCCGTTTAAACTTGTGTTAGAATTTTAGCAAAAATGCAAAAATTATGTGTGTTTCGAAATTTTCTGCTGCAGCTCAACCACCGTTTTCTTCAAGCAGGATTATAAAGAAAAGAAATCAGTGGTGGACATGTCATGGTTGTGTAAAGTTGGAAAAACTGTAAACTTAAAATTGTTTTTTCTTATAATTAAGTTGCAGCAATGTAAACTGTTGATTTGAGAAGAATTAGATGATTTAAGTACATCTCAGTGAAAGAAGTAGCACTGATATTACTTTTTAAAAACCTAAATCTGGATAAGTTTTGTGTCATCAATCGAAGCAATGAATATAAGTCGTTCCAACAATTCTCTTTTTTCCAGTGTAGATCTTTTATGGCTCAGCTGAAACTGTGCATTTACTCGATTTCTGAGCAAATCCTGAATGTTGACATGTCTCTCGTTCAGAATCCAGATAAAGCCTGTCACCAGGTCTTATCAGCGATGAGTCAGAGAGCAGGAGAGGAAGCGTAGGATAATTTCCTGCTTACCGTCCTGTCAGGATGAGCTCATGTTCCCTCCGACACCATGTGGCAGCTACACACCTCGGATATCCCTCACAGATTGATCCGCACAGGAGCTTTAAGGCGAAATTCAAATCCTAAAGGCAGGAGTGTGACAGTGCGTAGTGCTGACATTTCCCTGGAGATTTGGGAAAGCAAACCACCTCTTTGTCAGTCATTACGTGCCTTTACGCACGTGTGGTTTTATGCAGATTTTCTGTATAAATGAGGCCTGAGAGCAAACAAAAGTAGCGAAAATTAGAAAACTATGTGCTTGACTGAGATAAAAAAAAAAAAGTTGGTGTAGCAGAAAAAAATGATATAGAGACGAACAGATACAGTAAGGCTGCAGGTATCAAATCTGCATTTGTCCACAGCCAAAAAAAACCCCAATCGTATTTACTCCTGTTTAACTGATGGTGTGTGAGATTAGGGCTGCAGCAATTCATCTGCTAGGTGTCAACTTTTAACTGTTTTGGGAGTTTTGAAGAATAAAAAAGTCAAAGTTCTTGAAATTCAAGCCTCTTAAGTGTGCATATTCTTTTTTTTTGCTATCCTCCTGTGTGACAGTAAACTTAATATCTTTGGGTTTTGGATTAAACATGACGTCTATGGACGTCATATAGAACAGTGGTCTTCAACCTTTTTTGCACCACGGACCGGTTTTAAGCAAGAAATTTTTCTACGGACCGGTTATTGCGCACATAACAAATAATAATTTTTTTTTTTTTCTATTGCAAAGTTTCATAAATAAATAAAATTACTTTTTATTGCTTAACATGTTTACTTTTTCTCTGTCTCAGTATCGAGTCTCTCCCACTTTCCAAAGCAGCTCTCCTGAGATGTTTGTTGTTGACTGACGGCTTCGTTTAGCAGCCGGCCATAAAAACTGACGAACACAAACGGAAGTGACGGGAAGATGAACTAGTCATGTTTCAAAATAAAACACCCTGCAGACTCCGCTGGAAATAAAAATAAACCAATAAAACGTTTTTATTCTATCTGTGCGGCCCGGTACCAAATGACCCACGGCCCGGTACCGGTCCGCGGCCCGGTGGTTGGGGACCGCTGATATAGAGCTTTAAGAAACACTGATCGACATTTCTTACCATTTATTGACCCTTTTATAGACCAAACAACTAAAAGAGAAAAAAAGTGACAGATGAATTGACAATGACAGTAATCGTTAGTTGCAGCCCTCACAGAAAAAAGTAGAATTTGTGGCACCAATCAGTGTTTCTAGGGTAGAACTATTGGGGGCGACTGTGGCTCAGGTGGTAGAGCGAGTCGGTCAATGATCGGAAGGTTCGATTCTGCTGTGTCATGGTCGTGGTGTCCTTGGACAAGACACTTCACCCACCCTGCCTGTATGAATGGATTGTTCGAGGTGGTGGTCGGAGGAATGGCAGCCACGCCTCTGTCAGTCTGCCCCCCTCCAGGGCAGCTGTGGCTGCAATCATAGCTACCGCCACCGGAATGAATGTGTGTGAATGAATAATTGACAGTGTATCGTGTCTTTGAGTGCCTCGAAAAGTGCTATATAGATCTGATCAATTTTTATTATTATAAATGTGACACTGACTGATCTCAGAACTCGTCAGTGACTCCAGTTTATTCCCTTGTTTTCTTCTGGTCTTTGTTTTTTCTCTGTTTGTTGATTGGAATCACAAAGACTGGAGCTCAACTTGTATGATTTGCCTTGTCTCTAAATGTAACGGTGCCGTCTATAAACCCGTGGGTGCTGTGAGTTGTGGCCTTGTGTGCACAAAGCATCATTTTTCAACTATTGTAAGACACCAACACCGCAGTAACGATGTCCTTATATACACAACAAAACAGTCGTTTCTTGCCTTTCCTTGCTGTCCATAGATGCACATTCTCGTTGAATCACTCGCACACTGATTTTACTGTATTAGTTCAGCAAACAACATGCTTCCAATCTTTTCAGTGTGCTTCTCCCTCTGTGCTTGTCTTTCCCATTCTCATGAACGTGATATCTCTTGAGTGCCTTCAGGGAATGTCTTCAAATCTGGCACACGCCATTACTGGAACTGATCACATTTGAGCGATCCAATTCAAAGGTCTCTTTGACCTCACAAAACACATTTTATGCCTCCGTTCAAGCATTCATACGCTAATTGTGGCAAAATTTCACACAAATGAAATGTGCTGATATTTCTGTGTTTTTGTAATTTTATTCAGATATTCTGTGATTCAATAATATTCTTATGGCTTATATTTTATGTCTGGGTTTTTATTAGATTATTCTTGAGGTTTTAACTGTTTGTTGTCATCAGTCAAACTGTCTGCTTATTTCTTGTCGCTGTAAAGCCCAAAAAGCACTAAATAGGCTTTAAAAACAAAGTTGTTTTTAGGGTATAAATGAGCGCTACAGGCAGGGTAGTGACGACCATGTTGGTGGGTTTGGTTTTTCCATCGTGGTTGTTGAAAATCTAAAACATTCAGTTGAATTTAGTGTGTCTGATCTGATGTAGCCCACCATTCATGCTGCTTTCATCTCTACTTTATCTACATTTTGAAAATCCCCTCCACTGTAGAAAACAACAACCTCCAGGCTGCAAGCGACCAAAATGATCATTTCAAGTTTTGCCGAATGTTTGAAACATGCAATTAAGCAGCTGTGCAATTTTTTGTCATTGAATTAGCCACATTCCTGGAATTACTCATCACCCCTAATGCAAAATGTTGCTGCATACTTAGCTTAGCATTGCCCAAGACGATTGCAACTGGGGCCGGCAAGGTGGCTCGGTGGGAGCTCTCTGTGTGGAGTTTGCATGTTGTGCAGCGTGGGTTCTCTCCAGGTTCCTCCTACAGTCCAAAAACATGTTGAGGTTAATTGGTGACTCCAAATTATCTGGAGGTGTGAATGTGAGTGTGCTTGGTTGTCTGTCTCTAAGTGTAGCTCTGCGATATACTTAGAGATAGACTGGCGGCCTGTCCAGGGTGTCTCCTGCCTTCGCCCTAAGTCAGCTGGGATAGACTCCAGCCCCCCACGATCCTAGTGAGGATTAAGCGTGTGTAGATAATGGATGGATGACCAATATCAGCACTGCTCCACAGATTGGTGCAAAAATCAACCCCTTTAAGACTTTTCAAAAACTATTGTTACCCATGACAACACATTTCATACGCTTTAGTTTCATACGTTTTTAGTTAATAACATGCACAGAGTAAGTGGTGTATAGACAATGGATGGATGGATGGATGGATGGATGGATGGATGGATTGTAACTGGTCTAAAGAAATACAAACAAGCCAGAGCATGTTTTTCTCTTATAGTACAATGATAATGAGGTGCAGCCAGACCATTCTGCACAGCTCTGTGTCACTGGTAGAGAACAGTCTGGCTATGCAAGACTAAGTTGGATGTGTTTCAAGACAAAACAGTTGATACCTGATTTGAATGGTTGCAGTTAGCCATCATAAAGAGATAGGAGGCTGATATGCTGCTAACAGCACACATTTTCAGGCAGTCTCTCCTGGAAGACATTCATGGTGTTGCACGAAAGTAGCTGCGCCAAGAATGACCAGTTTACCAGCCATCACACAAAGTGGGTGTGATTTTTGTATGTTGGAAGCAGATACGGCGGAACACAGTCCCCCAGTCAGGAATCAGGAAGGTATGAGCAGGTTTCGAACAATCCGTTCTGACAGAGCACACCGATGCTTTTATCCCTTTGTGATATGAGCATCACAAATACTAGAATATCTTCTGTGTGTCAAGCGTCATCTGAGGATACGAATGAGGTAACAATGCCTTCTTTCTTTCATTCACAGGTATGAGGAATAGGGAGCTGCTGGAGGTGTCCCGTGGGCATGTTTGTCCTCTGGCCGTTCAGCCTGTGTGTCTCTGCTCTGCACACAGACGCTCTGGGAGGCAGAAGAAAGACGGTCTAAAAATAAACTGACATCCACCACCAGCAGAAAAACAAAACCCAAACCGACTCAAAAAAAAAAAAAAAGAGAGAGAAAAAGGACAAAGAAGAACCTCTCTTTCACCCTGTCCGACTCTTTCTCTGCTCCACTTCTGCTTCTCTGTCCTCATTAGAGAGGAGGTCATGTCCCAGTCTGGAAAAGTCCTTCATCTGTATGTGGAAGTGAGGTCTGCCCCAGATCAGAATGGAGGAAAAGGGCCGTTTGGGGAGAGTGAAGGAGGGATTGCTCAGGGGCATTCGGTTCAGGACAGTCCTGCGGAGCTCCTTTCGCAGCTAGCGAACCAGACGACCTGCCAGACAGTCAGCAAGGTCTCCACGGCTCACCGCCTGGTTCAGGACTGCACACACGGCCAGTCTCCGTCTAGAAACACTGTTAGCTTTCAGCTCCAGCAAGCCAGCAGCTCACCGACAGTTGCCAAGCGCTGGAGTTCACCCGTCCACTCTTCACCAACGGGAAAGGTTCCTTACACTCCCCCCCTTGGCCAGAGCGATGGGACCCGATCTGTGGTCACCTTCAGTTACGTTGAGAAGTCTAATGTGAAGACTTTGGACAGTCCACGAAACTCCGTATGCGAGAGACGAACCAGAGAGGAGCGATCCACCCCCTCCCACGTTAGAAAGCGCTTCAGTGACCCGGTTTGGTTTGGGAGTCCTGATTCATCGTGCAGCTCCAGTCCCAAGCTGACGTTCCAATCTCCGGGAAGTCACCAGCAGACGTTCTCCCCCGGCCTTCGCCAGCCTCACTTGGACCCCATCGGCAGGGCAGCTACCCAGAGGGCTGTGGAGGAGTTTGGCTCCCCATTACTGAGGATTAAACTGGCCCATGCACTCGAGCACACCTCATCCTCACGCTACAACCAACAGCCACGCTGTCAGTCGTGGGCCGGGTCTCCTGTTCAGCGGCAGAACATCAGCGCAAACCCCAAAGACAACATCGCAGACAGGAGCCAGGCTATTTGTGGGCTGCCTCGGAGTCCGGCGTCCAACCAGCTGTCCTCCCAGTCCAGGCAGTCTCCTCGTTCAAGGCCTGGGTCCTGTGCCGAACCCCAGAGCCCCCTTCACTGGACAGGAGAGGACAGAGCTATGGCAGGAAGTCCGGCCTCCAAAAGACACAGGGTCTGCAACAGGAGCGCTTCACCACAGGGAGCAATCCTACAACTTGGCAATAATGGAGTCGAGGGTTTGAACCAGTTAAGTGACAGCAAATCTTCGTCTCCAGCTCACAGCCCTGAAGTCGCCCGCAGGTTGGCGGAGGAGGCCACCAAAGTATCTTCGATTTTCACAGAGGCCAGGAGGTCCTCATTGCACAACGCTTTAGGCGAGCTTGCAAGTAGCTCAAACTCCGGAGAATCAGCTCCACATGCACAACAGTTTAAGCAAACGCTTAAGATGAACATCCCTTTAAACGACCAACCCACGCCAGCAACTGAAAACACAGACTCTCACCAGCCTGAAAACTCTGTCTTGCAGTCACATGAGACAAACTCCCACATCAACAATGACACACACCAGGAGGACTGCATTCAGAAAACCCAGCATCAGAGCTCAATTTTATCAGCAGCTCAGAGTTCCCCTGCTCTTCCTTCACGTGTCCTTCGTCCCTCCCATCCTCCCACTGAGCTCAGCTCTCCCATCAGGGACCCCAGGCTTTTCCAGACTGAGCTCCGAGCTCCGGATACCCCGACCTTGCACCGCCGTCAGCCGCCTCAATACACCGGAGACTCCTGGTCCCCGAGCCTGGACGGGAGAGGAGACCTGAGCTGCTTTGAGAAAGTGGACTGCACTGAGCTTGCTCGCAGGCTCTTTATTAATCAAAGTGTTGAGGAGGCACCGGTCAGCTGGACTTCCAGGCAGCAGTGGGGGAACCTCACCGAGAACACCCCTGGGCAAAACCCTGAGCCTGGATTTGAGTCCAACAGTGACCAAACTGCTGATCAAGAACCCAGGCAGCGTCGCAGGCCGCTCAGCCCCACGGCTCAGCAGAAAAGGGCTGAGCAGAGGAGGAGGGAGATCCTTCTTCTGGGGCCTGTGGTGCTGGATTCTGCCGAGGAGGATGAGGGTTGTGATGAGGAAGGACAGGGCAATGAGGTGGAGGGATATGGTGCAGGGCCTCGCTCGCAGAGGGTGGAAGAACCTCCAGAGGTGGAGCAGAACGGAGCGATAGGAGGTTCGTCCTCAAGGAGCTCCAGTGGGGTGACGGGGAGTCTGGGGGACAGAGACTGTGTGTCGCCAGAGTCCAGTCAGTCCAGTCACCAGAGCAATGAGACCGGGGCTGCCACCTCAGGAATACAGGTGAGTGCTGGGTTGTTTTGAGACAGAAAAGAAATAGTTTGATGTTTTAGCAAATGAACTCATTAACTTCTTGCTGAGATGGGAGGGTTGATAACACTCTCGGGTCTGTGCAATAAACATTAGAGCCGGACTGATACTACATTTCTGGGGCTGATACCAATTTTTAGGGAATGTGTGCATTTCCGACAATATGTACGCCTATACAATATATCTGTAAAAGGCCTATACCTGTCTACATATCAGCCAACTGATATATCAGTCGGCCTCTTGTAAATATGAAGCTGGAGCCAGGATGCTGTTAACTTAGCTTAGCATATAGACTGAAAACTGGGTGAAACAGCTAAGTGACCTCTCAGAAAATAAATGTGTCTACCAACCTTTTAAAAGAATTTTGTTTGTGTGCTGTTTAACTGAACAACAGACAGCAAGCCAATTAGCATGCTGTAAATATACTGGTGTTTTTTAACTTTGGAGAAAGCCAAGCTAGCTGTATCTTGTCTCATCTTTGTCCTGAGCTAAGCTAACAGCCTTGTCCCTTCGCTCTAGCTTCATGCTTACAAACATAACATGTTGAGAAATGTTAACTTTAAATTACATTTAAATGATTTGTATTCAAACTAAACTTATGAAACAAATAATATTGAGCTACAACAATTTCGATTGCTTAGCATAAGAACTGGTAGCAGGGCTAAACAGCTAACCTAGCATGCAACTCATTGTTAAACTACTACATGTCAATTTTACATTTATTTTTGTGTATTAAGTAAACAAACAACATAGAACATTTGAACTAAGCTTGAAAAATGTTGGTTAATGTATTTTGAACCTAGGACAAATCCATGCTAAGCTAAGTTAGCCTCATCTCCTTATTCTAGCTTCATAATATTGAAATTCTCTCATTGTTAACTCAGTTTCTCTTAGTTTGTTCTAATCAAAAATATTTTAAGTTCATGCTGACTTCATATACAAATAAAGAAAAAAAGTTTAAGATTATTTTAAAAATCTCATCTCTGTGCACTGTGCTAGAACCTGGAGATGATTAGCTTAGCTTAACATAAAGGCTGGAAGCTCAGCTAATGAGCTAGCCTGGTATGTATATTAGATTTTTTTCTCTGTATTTGTTCAACAAAAGTGATACAACAGTAACCTGGGATATGCTTAGGATGCTAAGCTAAGTTAGCCTCTTGTGCTTGCTGTAGCTTCATGATGTTGATATTCTTGTCGAGTCAGCTGCTCCTATTGTTAGCTAAACTTGTGTAATTTTGTTGTATTCAGCAATGTTTTGAGTGTATGCTGCCATTAAATTAAATCACAGAAAAAAAATTTAATATGATGCACTTGAGCTAGAACCTGGAGGCGATTAGCTTAGCTTAGCCAAAAGCAGGGCTAAACTGCTAGCTTGGCACGCATCCTAGGTTTCTAGGAAATCCAACATTTCAAGTAGTGGGCTTTTTTTGCAGGTGGTAGAAGTATTTTCTTTTAGGAGACTTGCCTCCAGCCTTTATGCTAAGCTGAGCTAATTGCAGCACACACCTATAGACTTTCTCCTCTAACTCCCTGCAACAAGGTTGAGCATTTCCCCAAAATGTCACACTATTCCTTTAATGCTGCACTGCAGAGTTATCATCTTCTTTTGTCTCTGCATGTGTCTTGCAGACGGACAGCGGCTGTGCAGCTCCGGTTCCTTCGCTGCACTGTCAGAGGATCGCGCGAGCAAAGTGGGAGTTTTTATTCGGGACCCCTGCTGAGGAGGCAGCCGGCAGGGGGGAGAAAAGTGAGAGCGCGTCCATCTCAGCTGCATCTGGTTTCTGCACGTTGTCTTTCATGTCATTCCTTTTATTTCTTCCTTCACACGAGAATATTTCACACATGGATGAAAAGTCAGTCAGGTAGCAGTGCTGCCTGTCAGTGTCACTGAGTGTCATTGAAGGCAGCATATTCAGATGTAATGTGTCATTCTGGGACTTTAATAAGGCTGGGAGTCATTTCAAAATGTTCTGTACCAGTGCCAATGTGACATGTGAGTTTCACGACCAACTTGGAAGAATATGTAAAGAAGAGTTAATATATCTTTACAAAACTTTTTTTTTTCAATTAACACGAAAAAACAAACTTAATGTTAAAAATGTAAAATCGAGTCCACTTTATTAACACCGCTGAAACTATAAACCCAGTTCTTTTTCAGTAGTCTTATCAGCTCTTCAGGGTTACTGTAAAAAGCAAAATATGAGAAAATGATTCTTTATTTACATGACAAAATACGATCGCTTGAACTTCAGTGTATTTTTTTATGTTACACATATTCATTCATTTAACCTCTTAAGACCTGGTGACGTCACATTTTTGGCCATATTACAATCTAATATCAAACAAGAGCTCGAGTCTTCAGAGGTTAAATTACAAATAAAGGTCTTTGCACTTAGCCCGAAGCGCAACAAGAATTAGATATTTAAGATGTGTTATTGAGGGTAAACCAAGAGTTTCCAAATGTTCCAGCCTTCCAATTCACAAAAGAACAACTGTGGAAATAACCGTATTCAAAGAAATGGTTCAAGCAGACAAATGTGGACTCGCAGGTCTCTTCAAACACGGGCATGAGGAGAACACAAAAGAGCAATGTGGCCGAACAGCCATAATGTTATTTTATAGTAATTTAATTTAGCATAGCAGCAGAATCCATCAGTGGAAGTAATGTCCATGAATAGATTGTACTCCTGAGTGAACATACAGTAAAGAAGGGCTGCAGATTCATATTTAAAAAAAAAAATCTTATCAAACAAATATGGCTTAATTGATTTCTGGAGAGCACCTTTGACCCCTCTTGGTCAATTTTGCAACCACTGGACTAAATGATTAAACAGTGAGTGTGTGAGGGGCATCCATAGACTGTATAAAAGATGGACGTAGCTACCGTGACGTCACCCGTTGGTTTCTGCACTGAGAAAATGAAGCCAGGGTTTTGCTACTTCCTGGTTGACATCTTGGATTTTTGGAGCCAGTGACGCAAAAATCGTCGGAGAGGGGCGGAGCCATAGGAGCAGCGATTGGTCAGACGGATCGAGAGGCAGGACCTCTCTGCCCGCCCACATTTACCGCCTTCTGCTCGCTTCGTCTGTATCGTCGCTGCCGACTGTCAATCAAGCCAGCCACGCCCCTTGCCCCGCAAAATGTTGACGATTTTTAAAAATTCAGTGTTGATTTATTTTCAGATTGGCCACCTGATCTCTGGATTTGACCATGAAAACTAATAAGAAAAAAATCCTGAGCTGTAGGAATGCAGTATTTTGTGATCTGTGATCACTTCTTATCCAATTCCAGTCTATGGGAGCCAGGGCTTTTTGGAGCCAGCAGCTAGCAGACGTAGTGATACTGCAGGTTTTTGACACTTCCGGGTTGGCTTCATTTTTCAGGGCCGGTTGCTACGTCCATCTTTTATACAGTCTATGGGGGCAACAGGACTTTTGCTGTTATTTGTTAGACTTAAATGTAGTTTTCACTCAATGCACCAACATTTGTTTGGTTAGGTTATAGTAAAATATCACATTTTGACCCTTTTACAACATGCCTGAAGCTGATCCTCCATTTTCTGAGTGAACGTGCTGCTCCATCTAATATATGATTAGTTATTTGAAGAGGAGTGACAGTCAAATAGCAAAAATAGATAGCAAAGATATGTCCACTGTAAAAGTGTTTGTGATGTGGGAAGACAGGAGAAAATACAAAACATAATTGATAATGCAGCATAGTGGTATAAAAAAGCAAATTTGGGGGATATGGGGCTGAAATACACATGTGTGGGTGACACTGTTGCTCTGGATCACATGCTGCTTCCTTACAAACACACTCTGTAGTTTATTTAGTCTCAGTCCCACATACACTGTCCTGCTGCCCCAAATACTCACTAGAGCACCAAATATGCATTAATCCACCGCTGACAACAGTCTCCAATATATGAAACATCTCCTTCTCTTGGCTTACAGTGCCTAGAAAACAAAATGATGTATTTGTCCCTTATTTATCTGTTTAGATATTTTGCAGGAACCATGTTTGTTGGGTTTTTGTGAGAATATTAGAAGCTT